ATATTTTTAATAATCGAATTGGTATGCGAGTAAATACGTTTTGTTATTTCTGTTTGTTTTTTTATTTATTAATTTATTTATTTATTTTTTTGTATACAAAATCATTCAAACAGTTAAAATACAAACATGTATTTGTATAGTACTGCTCTTATATGTATTTTGCGTGTGAATTAATAACCTAATTTTCAGATTATATTACATTAAGTTTGTTATCTATGATCATTCGAGTAGATAGTGGAATATTTGATATCATACTTTGAACACACGTGAGTAATATGATATAGTATAGAGATCAGCGTACAATTCATACAATAAAGTAATTGATTTTTTTTTTTTTTTTGTTTGTGTTAGTCAAATTTACACTTATTAATCGTTATTCGGTTTTTCTAAATATACATTTATATAAGTATAGGTATTTAATAATATTATTTATATTAGTTTTCTTTCTTTTTTTTTATTAATATTTTCAACACTATTAACTTTTAAAAATTGAACATAAATATGTAGTATCAAGCCATTAACAATTAAAACTTAAAAAACAAAACGAAAATGCAGACCAAGAGGCCAAGAAAGTAGTAGTATCCGCAGATATTTCGAAATTAAAGATAACTACTTTTGCAGACATAAAAAACTAAATCAAATAAATTATCCAAATTAAATGGCAAACACACTGGTTTAAACAGAACACCAAATTAAGACAAATTAAAAACTCTATCTTTGACTAGCCAAACTCTCTCTTGAAAAGAAGAGAAAAAGTAACAATTAATGGACTCTGTATCGGTCACACTCGTCTTACGCATGGATACCTCATGGCTAAGGAAGAGAAATCCATGTGCACCACCTGCGGTACCGAATTATAAATTCACCACATTTTCTCAAAATGTCACCAATACACAGACGAACTCAACAACCTCAACATCCCCAGCACTCTGACCGAACACACACACCATTAACCAAGTTCTAAATTTTTTAAGAAAAACTAAATTATATGATTTAATTTAAACAACATAATTTTAAGAACCTTATACATAAATGAAAAATTGTAAGTAATTTAATAACTAATGGCCGTTGCTGCTGATGTTAATAAAATATCAATTAAAAAAATAAATAAATAAAAATTAAAAACTCAATAATGGAATATTGACTGAATTCAGTTTCATTATTTTTTATAACAGCAGAACAAACACTGAAAAACAACCTATCTGAAATACTGCTTGAGTTACGATTATAAAGCTGGTTCATAAACAAAAGAAATATTTATTTTAATTAATTTAATTACAGGAAAAAATTATTACGTTAAAAACCAATATTTTGCTTGAAAATCTAAAGACCAATTACATGGTTACACGGCAAAATAACTTATAATTAAATAATCACTCAATTTATCAAACATCTTTATTCTCGAAAGCTGTTTGCCGTGAAATTCAATCAACGCTTATATTATTTTTATTTTAATTAATTGTTTAACCGTAACTTTTAGGGATTAATAGGAGAGTAATTCTTTTTTATTTTAGTAAAGGTCGTGGTTAGTTTATCGATTAAACAATTCATAGGTTTTTCTCTCACGTTTACAAAAATAGTTATAAGTGTCGTATGTGTTTTTAGTATAGATACCACTACGATTTGGCAAGTATTTTAAATAAACAATCTTTTAAATATTAATGTATTAAAAAAATATTATGTAGTCTGTAATGGAGCCCGCGCTCAGACAAAAACAACCCTTTTCAGGGCCACTAAGAACATCATTGTGACGATGTAAAATGACATGAAAGCAACTAATACAGCGGAGGAATAGTGTCGTTTTACAACATCGAATGGATCGATAAAAATTCAACCCACGAGAATGGAGCGTCAATGTCTGATTGAGTATATATACCGGTCACTTTTTGGAACATTGACACACCATTCTTCTATTTACAACGATCAACATCCAAAAGATAAGAAGAATAAAAGCACCCGACGGCAATTACGACGACGAAGGTTGCGGCGAATACGACGAAGGCAATCTCGATGACTGCACAGCGGCTGCGGCAACCATGGCCGTGAAAAACAACGACGAATAAGACAACCACGAATCCGGCTCCAGCGGAATTTACGCGCGGGGCTCACCTGGCGGGATTCGTGGACCTATTCGTCGACACTAAAAATGGCCCTTTTCAGGGCCAATATCCTTACAAGACTATCCGGCGCACTTACACAAGTGTCCGCTAGCAAAGTGATCACGGTCCATACACTCGCTTGCTTAAGTCTGCTATCGACCGTGTATCCAATTCTCTATCGCACCTACATAGGTGCGATACCACCCGTCGCGGCCCGGAATAATTTTATTAAATTAATTGTTTTACTTTCATTTAATGCTAAATAAATAACTTGATATTTATTTCGTGTACATTTATATAAAGATTCGGCAGTCGGCAACCCCGGCACACCGTTTCAAGTCAATAATAAAACGCCCCATTGAAACACAATAATCGATTTTGATATAAAATATAATGGATATGAATAAAAAAGAACTAACTGTGAAGTATGTTGATGTTATTAAATCGCACTTCTGATTTTTTAAGAATTTATGGAATTTTAAAAATACAGTAAAGTGATAAAATTATATTAATTTCAAGTATATAAATTATCGTTTACAATAATGTACTATGAAAAATATTAAAATTATTATAAGCAATTTAAAACATTTGATGAACAATAATCTATTGCTTCAAATAATTCTGAAATTATGGTACAAACTGATATGCACTAAATTTAAAGAAAGGTTATAATATTAGATGGATATAATAACGAATAACACAACATACCGTAATAAAAATGTATGAAATAATGAATTATTATACCATGTATGAAACTTCGAAATTAAAACATATGATATTTAATATAATTCTAACAACGTTAAAACAAAATATTGTACTTGATGTAACAAATAAGTAAGGATTAAGTCAAATTAGAAAATAAAATCTGTTTTTGGACGTGTTAAATTAACGTATATACATAGTATTCTTTAAATATGTTAAACTGCAAAAAGCCTATATCAAATATTAATTAAATAACAAAACTAATGAAAAATATTTACGGGATAACCTCTTACGTACAAATTACATCTTGGTTTTCATTCAAGAAATTCCTCAAATTAAATATACAAGTTTCAGGTATAATAATAAAAAACAGTAAAAAAATATCATTTTCTAGTAGCTCATATAACTACTCTAGATAATTTAATCATAAAAACAACTATATAGGTTAAACCCTAAACAATAGCACAAAACAAGAAACGTAATTATGCGTAAATTTAAAACAATTAATCTATATACTAATACTACGAAAAAATAAAATTGAAAATTTTTTATTGGCATTAAACTTCTAAGTCCTAATAACCCTCCTCTCCCGTTTAGACGCAAATATTAAAATTAACAGCTATATGATACTCCGCGCAAATAAAGAAAAATATTAAGGGGCTAGTTAATCAAATTTCTGTATAATCACTCAATTGTTCTAAAGACGGTCTAAAGGTTTAAACAATTAGAGCTTTGTAAAATAGATTTTGTAGAATCTTAGAACCGATATATTAACTAATTAATGGACAGTATACAATGTAAAATTAAGCTTCTTCAGTACACATTATACAGGTGTACATTAATGTTGACACTGTTAATAGTAAGTTCCAGTGATAATTCAATCCGACCAATTATTTTGTATTATAAATTAAAATATTTATGTATATTATTTATTTATACGTGATAAACACACATTCTCGTGCAAACGCTAATGCTTAAATTATTTATTCAAACTGGACCTTACATTGAGACATCAACTTTGAAATTCTGCAGTCGTAAAAGAACCCAGTCATTTTTAGCGTAATTGCTAGAATTTTAAGCTTTAATTTGGATCACCACAAATTATCAAATTGTTATGCTTTTAATTAGTATATAACCGTTATACTGATGTAGTACTGTAGTACAATAATCACGTGAATTAAATATCATCTGCGATGGCTGTGAATATCCAACTTTAAGAAATGAATAATCTTAACGATGTTTCATGTAGAGTCAGAACCTAGTTAAAAAAAAAAAAAAACTGTATGAAAATATAATTTTAAATTTACATTTATTCTTAGATGTATTTTCAAATTAAAAATGTTTATTCAAGCTATCGTATTATAATTTTATAATACTAACGTATAAATGTAGTTTTGATATAATTATCGAATAATAAAATAATAAAAAGTAAAATTAAAATTAAAAATTATTAAATGTAACCATTTAATAATTTTAATACTTGTAAATTAAAATATAAACAAATAAATAAATAAAATATTAGCCTGAAATATTTTTATATTTGTAAAATACAACTGGTTTCAAATTAAAAATGTATTGTTAGGTATATACGAGTACAAAGTCAGTATAGCACTATGTTTTTGACTTTGTAAGTACCTAACGATAAATTTTTAATTCGAAACTGGTCATATATTATAAATATAACAATACTCCAGGTTAAGCATTTAAATATTTATTTATTTCTAAATATATAATAATTTCTATATATAAACTATTTTTTTTGTTTACTTTTACAATAATTATTGATGTTGAATAATGTTTAATCTATCGCGAGTATGACTCACTTTAAATACATCATCGTTTAAGTTAAAATTTTAAAAACATTTAAATAGAATATTTTAAATACAAACTTGTGCTTTTTGATTTTTTATGTAACTTTGTTATACGTACCACAAAGACTCGTGCTATCAACTTTTAAATCATAGTATCGTGTAAACAAACTGTAGTGTATTAAAATTAACGGTCGCATGACAACGCAAAGTGTTTTGTTCTTAAGAGTTCTGACACTTATTATCTATCATCTGGTTTAATAAAACAATAAAAAACCGTGAAATAAAAAATAAATATTCATCTATAATAATTACAATGAACGTTTTATTTTTTTATAATTTTATATCGAAACGATTCATATTGTACGTAGTTTTTTTTTTTTCGTTTCAGGTATTACGATTCGATTAAGTGTTGGTACAGTGCACAGAATTAGCAGTATTTAACAGCAGTGAATTTACCACGTAACCATATTTTTGGCCTATTCTTGATCTCAGGCGAATACCCGACAAAATAGGTTGGTCAGACTTCCGGCGAGGCAGCAGTCTGCCATCAGCGCCGTCCACCACTGGAACTATGTTCTCCAAACTCAAGTCAGGCACATCATCTGCCAGTCAAGGCGCCCAGGTGCTTTCCACCAACAATATACTCAATTTGTTTGAAGTCGGCAAATATGTCTGTTCAGCTGGACCGGAGCTCATATGGAAAGTGTATGAAGGTTTTCGAAAACCAGACGGAAAGGTTAGTAAAAAAATTCAATGTCACTATATAACTACTATCATCATTATCAGTCATACTCGAACTGGTGGAACAACTCGATAACAACCATGATAAAATCACATCGATGTAAAAAGTAGCAATAACAGTCTAAACACCAAATGTCATAAGTATACAGTTGACCACGGTCAAGGTTAACTACCGTAAAACTATAAGTTTGACGTTTCGGGTTTACTATAATATTTTAAAAATGGTTGAACTATAATTTACATAAATATTGTTTATAAATAGAACAGTATAATTACTGTGATTTTATAATAATTCATTATAGTACAACGCATTGTTTATATCCACTAAAATTTGAACAGCGCATAGAAGTTATACACACACGTTTTAAAGGAACGTAAAATACTTCAAAATGCAATTTAATCTCAAGAGTTATATTTTCATACTAAGCTTGAAAACACAATGCACCCTACTCGGTTCAAACAATTTTTTTTATTAAAAAAAATATTTTTCAAATAAGTTGAATAGAACAATGAATAAAGAAGAAAAAAATTTTGGTGGTAAATAACTAAAAAAGTAGATTAATTATTTATTTATTTATTGGTGTAAACGCCCAGGTGGGCTCAAGTACAATGACAATAAGATTTATAAAAATAACATTGGTAGAATAAAGATACAAGTACAATGAATGAAGTAGTATGAATTAAGTACATAAAATAAAATTACAAAATTATACTAACAAATTATGTTCGGTTAGTATTATATGAACATCTACGTACAAATAAATAACAATAAACTAAATATAAATTAGATCAAAATTTAAAGAAATATAATTCGTACATTTGCAACCTAGAAAATATATATAAATAAACGTTAATTTATATCATTATAATTTAAGCTATTAGATCTTAATTTTACAGTTAGTTCACAATTAAATAAAAGCAAATTTTTAATGAGGAATAAATCAAAATAATAAATATAATGGGTTAACCACAAATAAAAAAAAACTTTATGGGTTATATGAACAACAATGTTTTTTTTTGATTTCTAACTTTTTGTTATTTATGGAAATGGAGATAATAATAGTAATAAAAAAAAATAAAAAATAAAAATAAAATAGTTTGTTATTTATTTAGTATATTCAACAATATATTAGGAATTAAGCTTTTGTTAAGAAGATATAAATGTTTGAATGTAAGGAATTTAAAAATCTTTCCGAGTTTCATTCAAATTCTACGTTGATATTGAAAAATTTGTAAAATTCATTTTCATAAGTAGGTATGCCTTCCTAGTACAATTTAAACCAAAAATGTTTTTGAAAACTACATGATAAGAATATAGTTACGAAAAAAATACATCACTAAGAAATCAATACATTCTTTGCCTTGCTAGAAATCTAATATAATATCGTGTTGGTAGTAGTAGTAATACATATTTTTTATAATAATATGCAATAATTGATAAAAAAAAATTCATATCGAAAATCGTAGAAAATAAATTCTAGTAACACTCATAAATTAATTAAATAATATGATAATTTAGAGGCCGAAAAACTTAAACAAATAATATTTTTTACCTTACCGTGTGCATTTACAGAGTATAGCAGACATATTTGTTTAGAAAAACTATAATTTATTCTCAATTTAAGGTAATATTAAAATACTGCCACGTAAAATGTTCCCACCATATTAAAATTAATAATTAATGGATCGATTATTATTTTAAGGATTACTAATAATATGATGATTGACTAATCTCGGTCAAAAGTTTTTATTTAGATCATTATAAACTCGATCGCAGTGTAAATATAAACAACGTTTTACAGTTTTATTGTGTTGTTCTTTTCCATAATAGATTATTATAATAATATAATCCGGTTGTATGTATGAAATGTATGAAATAAAGTGAAGTGTGTTCCCCTACGCAGTCATGTATCAGCTTTGCATATACGATACGCCGCCCAAAGAATTATTGCATGATAAACTACTTTATTTTAACTATAGTATTGACATTTTTGTGTACAACACATTATAAAAACTGCTTTTAATTTTGTATACTATTACTTATTTATGAATTTGTCAATTATAACCGTCCCCACAGAATATCCGAATGTGCAGTTAAAGTGATGAATTGTAAGAATGATGATTTAATTTATTAAAAAATTGCTGCAATCTAGTTAATGGAGTACTTTGATTTTAACTTCTGTTATTAATTTAAACTTTTGTGTATAAAATAGTACTACTATACAGTTGCAATAGAATAATAAAGCTCAAAAAAGCTTCTTTTTACGATATTTTTTCAAAACATTATTATTACCCACATTATTTTGCATAAAAAAAAAAATTATATGTGTAAAAATTTTAATTTAAAAACTAGTTCTGATATTTTAGCTATCGAGGAGTTATTTGAAATTTGTATGATAATAATATATTATTTGTCAAGGTACACTATGTTTGATTTTGTATTTTCATATTAATAAGTTTTTACTTTGAATGAACATAGGTATGTAATTATTATAATTCCTATCAGATAATTAAAATTTTCTCTTTAAGTCTAAACAATTATTTATACTACAATTTAAGTGTTATTTTCTTGAAATTTGAATGAATAATATATTTTTCAATATTATACATTTAAAAACATATGTAGAAATGTCCTATTTTATGATTTATTGTTTATACGAATATAATCATTAATAAAAGCAAAGCAACAATGCAAAATATGGTTTCAGTTTAGCATCTTTGTATTATATTTGTTTTTGTGTTATTTTTTTATATCTTTGTGTTGCTTGTTTATATATTAAATAATGAATATCAGGAAAAATGTCTACAGAAGATCATGAACTAATACTAAAATAGTTTATAAAGTTTCATTATTTTTATATAGATTATCATGCATAAAATAGAGAAATAATTATGAAATATTTTCATTACTTTTTAACAATAAATATTTCAATAGTATTTTAACAAGAAAAAATTATTTAATTAAAATTTATGTTATATTTTTTCATAAAATAGTAAATTTCATGATGGATTTTGTAATTTAAGCTTTAGAATTGTACATGATTATTATTTTTTAAAACAATATTCTATACATTTTACATTAATTTTTGTTACATATAATAATACTTAAAAGTATAAAACTTTTAAAACTTTATATATCAATATCACAAAATTGTTAATTAGTTACATAGAAAAAAGAACTGTGGTAAATTTTTTAAGCAAACAGTTATTTATTTTTTTTATATTAAAAGCGGATTATAAAACACTAAATAACGAAACTAAAAGGAATTATTCTATTTTTCTCATATAAATTATTTTTTTTTTAAAAAATAAGCCGATAAAAAAGTCTTTTTTTTATTTATAAAAAAGAATTTGGGAAAAAAAAATAATCTAGTATTCAAACTATACATGATACTTAATATTGACTAATTAGGTTCCTTATTAAATTAATTTGACAAATAATACCATTAGTTTTATTACAATTAACAAAATTAAATTATACTTAAAAAAGTATAATATTTTATTATGTATATTGTTGTTATTTATTTATTTATTTGTTCAATTTTATATTTAAAAATAATATGACAATTTAAGGTTGTCATTTCTTATTACTATTATTATTATTATTATTATGAATATTACACCGTTTTCGTAGAGAAATTTAATGAGATATCGAGCAATCAGTTTCTAGTTACATGATAACTTTCCATCAATGCAGGTATCCTATTTACAGTATCCTATTAATCTCTTTTATCCGTAAGAAGCATAAAACCTCTTGTTAGAAGCATTCAGAGAGAATACAACGAAGCTACACAAGTTTAATGATGTACCTTTAGTATCGTGGTAGTTAATTACCAAAGTGTTGTATTATAGTTATATTAAGCAACTACTTAGAAGAAATTAAAATCTATGGCTGTTTAAAATATTATTGTTGACCGTTGATGAGTAAAAAATATTTAAAAAAAATAAAATAAATATTCATTAAAATAAACGTTTAAAAATATCGCTATTTTCATCATTTATTTCTTCAAAAATATAACTTTTCGTTTGAAAACATGAAAATATTATTTTAATAATGGTAAAATACGATTGATCTTTGACATTGTTATTTTATTTGACCAATGAAATATTCTGGGTTGTCAATTCGAGGTCGTTCCTTTAGACTATCTTGTATATAATATATTAACTCATTTTTATTGCAATTTATATAGTAATATATATTTTATTGTGTTGAGAAATTTGATATTGTTCTGATGACGAAACTTTTAAAGGTAAGTCACTAAATGTAGATAGACGAATTTCGTATTTACAGATTTACATTATTAAAAAAAAAATTAAAAAAATGCTTTCTTCGATCGAGTGAGAATACAGGGACTTGTAAATTATATTGCTTTATTACCAGAACTCATAACTTCTAGAATTTGCGTATTTTTTTTTAGAGGTCCTAGAGGTACCTATGTGAGCTATAAATTTGTTTCAGATAACCAAGAAGCTACATACGAAATTTTGTGTTGCATATTTTTGCATATTTCGGAGTATAAATACTATTTTGCTTTTTTTCGCTTTTTTTTTGCTTATTTTTTGATTTTTGCATGATTTTTTTAAAATATTTTTTAGTAGCCTAAAACATTTTTTTTAAAAAATAACAAGTAATTATAGTCATATTAATTGTTTATATTAGTACTTAATTCGCGTTAATTAATTTTTTTTCTTATATAACTTCTATAATATCAAATAAACTATATATACTTATACGAGTTTAGGCGACGCGCGACGTAGCGAGAGTATACGCCCGAAACTTTGTAATCCCATCGATAAGGAAACCATTATAATTATATATAATTGTAGTTTGTACTGTAGTATTTTATTTTTATAGTTTCTAGGTATTCGGGTATTCCGATATCATTATCTAGATATTCCGATATCATCATTCTCAGATTATTTACAGATTATTTTTCATTAATATTTTGCAGTCGTTTCCGATTTTTTGTACTGTATGCATGCTAGTTCGTTTCG